TACCAACGGTTGGCATTGAAGTACTGTTGATAGTCCGTAAAGTGGATGCTGAGATTTGGGTGAACTTTGCAAGGGCACAGAGTAGGTAATGGTAGCGGAGGTAAAAAGCTGCAAGTACTTGGCCGCAGTCTAGACGTAAGTTACCGAAAATCTAGGTAATATATATGTAGGACATGAACCGCTCTAGTAGGTTTACCACGAGGATAAAGGACTCCCCTATATAGGAGTGTGTGTCCGCTTTAAAGTCCTAAGGGGCCTTAACGGCAGTTCCTCTTTGAGGAGAATATCCCGACGGCGCTAAGTTGATCAGAGGGTTTAATTGGGTTGCTTAAGTAATAGTGGGTTACAGGTACAACATCTAGTGTAATTCATATGGGTTACATATGCAAGACTGCTTAAATAGACAACCAAAAGTTGTATATATGGCTAAAATATATCTTCGTTAATATAACAAAGTCAGGAATAGCCCATGTCGTTGCCCTGGCATTTGATCCAAAGTTTAATAAAACGTGCCAGACCCCAAAGTGGTTACCTTAACATTAAAAAAAAAAAATTCTAAATAACATATATACAAATAAAAAAAAACAAAATTATACTAAAAAGTAGCATATCTTTAAACACAGGTATAAAGTTTGTAATGAATACAATCATCATTCACATCTATATTGCAAAATATACAAAAAAGTAGCAGTTGCCATATATTGGCAATGTGAATGTGAATAAAAATAAATCAGAATTACTGATTTGAGCATTATATATAATTTTCTGTGATTTGCCCACATAATAAAAATATTCATTAATATATATTAGAATAATTCTACATATAAAATTTATCTGTATCACTTTATAAAACTTATTATTATATATAACTAAATTTGTAAGATAGGGCACAAGTAGAAATTGCTATTTTTTATTTATCAGAATTAGTCTCTAACCAAAATCGGTTAATTAACTCATACCACATCTATTCTTCATTTTGGAGAATCTGTTCTGAATCAAAATCTTATCTGGTCTAAATGCACACAATGTATATATATACTATAGAGTAACAAGTCTTATATTTTAATCTTATATGGCTCTATAACTCATGATGTATATATTTATATAATTTATAGAATTCTTTTGTATTATTAATAAAAATTTCTCTGCATAGAAATATATGCACCAACTTCTATTATAGAAATTTTTTGATGTAAGAATGCATGTTTTTGCTTCTATCTAACATTTCTAACATTTAAGTTTCAGAAAAGAGGTGAAAGAAAAACATATAAAAGAGCAGTATAGCGAAGTTAAGAATATTTATCTCTTTATAATAATTTTAAACATCTTGTTATGATTGTTTTACAACTACCCAGCAATGGAAAATACTTTATTTAACAGCCTTTATAATTTCTTAATTGATTCTTCAGAAAATCATATCTTTGCAGTGTCTCTTGTTTATTTTGTAGTAAAAGAGAATCTACAAATAGAAGAAAATCAACTAAAAAGTATAGTAGAAGATGTAACTAAATTTGCAATAAAAAAATGTTAAAGGAATTCTTTGTGTTATAGAATATTTTAGAAAATTTCTTATCAGATGAGCCTTCTAAGCTTTAAGAATAAAATTTAGATTTTGATTACATGATGAAAAATGCATTTTTGAAGAGCAAAGAGAAATATAAAGCAGGGGTGCTGAAAATTGAATTGCAATTAAATTATTATACAATTATATTTAATTGATATTGTTACAAACAAATAATTGCAAAACAATTAATTTACAATTAATTGCAATTTTATAATAAAAATTTCTAAAAAAATTATTGTATAAATACAATAAAGTGGATTTATATATAAGGACCCAAATTTTGAAAAATTTATAATTAAGAGCCAAAATAATTTTGCATTATAATAATAGTAGTTCTTTGTCATTATAACTATATATATATATTAATTTATATATTTTAAATTTTACTTTTTAGTTAATAAACTTTTTTTTAACTAAGAAACAATTCGACTAAGTTAAATACGATTTATATTAATATTGTAATATTTATTTGTTTTAAACTAATATATTTATCCTATCACTATATCAAACTAGTGAATCAATACTATGCATTAATCAAAGAAATTTAGAACTAAAGAAGCTTATTTTTATTTGTAGAGAAAGTTAAATTATTTTTAAAAATCGATAAAAGTGGTTATAATTTTTACATAAAAGGTGCTAAGAGAATAAATTAATAAGAAATTATCATTTAATTTGGCATCTTGAATCATCCACATTTCACTATTTACTCTTAGCAATAAAAGATTTTCCAAGATATACGGGTCAAGAGACTTTCTCCAGTCTGTATAATAATACTTTACAAGTAAAAACAAATATTCTATTACATTAGAAGTGGAGGAATTATATTCATATTTATATATTTTGATTCTTCTGATTTGCACTTATTTACAATTCATTCCTTCATAATTAAGAGATTTTCTTCTACAATTGATTGCTCAATAATAAATGCTTCAAGTTTTTGCTTTTCATCTAACATCAATATGGTTTTATATTTGCATAGAACTTTAACCACAGTCTCTTCGAAAACTGGATCATAAATTATTATTGCATTTTTTTCTAGTTAACTTTCTAACTCTGGACATTCTTCTATTAATAAATCAAAGTAGACACAAATATTGTCCAGATTTATAGAATCACTCTATAAGTTGTTAGTTGCTTTAAAAAAATATTTAAGTCATTTAATTAAGCAATCGACTTTATTGAGATCTAATTACTTAATTAACAAAATATCATGACCTATATAAATATAAAAATATATAATAAAAAAATATATATAATAAAAAAAAATAAATAAAAAATAAATAAATAAAAAATAAAAAAATAAATAAAAATAAAAAAAATAAAAAATCAAATTAAGTAAATTCTTGATCTGAAAATCTATTTGTTTGAGTAATGTAAGAAACAAGTTCTTTAAATCATTCAATCATTTTTATAATACTTATCCAACATGTTGCATTGTCTAATATAGGTTTCAAAAAAGTCACTTTTGCAAGTTTTCCACAATTTTTATAAGTTTGCATCATATATATGATTGTATGAATCTGATTTACAAAGGTAGATAAGAACTAATAAGGTTATTAACAGCCAAATTTAGATGGTATGATGCATATCTAACAAACAAAAGACTTAAATCATTAGCTATAGTTATACTACAGAATCCTGACACTCAAAATCCTGACACTTAAAATCTTGACAACAAAATTCTAAAACACAAAATCTCAACAAATTAAAATCCTGACAGCATTAAAATCCTGATATTCAAATCCCAACATTCAAAATCTCAACACTTTCAAAAACTTAACAGAATTAAAATTTTAGCTTGAGATTTTAATTCTGTTAAGATTTTGAAAGTGTTGAGATTTTGAATATTAGGCTTTTGAATATCAGAATTTTAATGCTGTCAGGATTTTAATTTATCAAGATTTTGTGTTTTGGAATTTTGTTGTCAGAATTTTAAGCATTGGAATTTTGAATGTCAGGATTCTGTAATATAACTGTTAGCTATTTTACGATTTGTACTACAATTATCATCTAAAAAAAAAAGAATATTTTCAACACTCTTGCTATATAACTCTAAAACATCTTCAAAAAACCTAATGTATATATCTGCATTTTAGATAGTGCGATTTTCAAAAAGTGAAAATGCTAATAAAACTAAATTTCTAGACTCATAAACAGTTTGGTAGATTCTAAACATTCCAACAAAATGAATATTATTATTTGTTCATCTGTCAAACATAATTCCAATCTTTTCTGATAAAATATTTTTTACTCTCTCTTATACAATATTTGCTAAACTACTAAGGTACTTGCTAACTATAGAAACATCTAATTTCGAAAGACTCATATGTGAGATGAAATTAGAATTCTCACATACATTGAGAGGTAATTGATATTTCATAATAAGGCTTACTTAGTTAAAAATATTGAGCACATTTGCACTATAATTAAGCATATTAGAATTTGATGTAGAGACATTTTTGATTCGCTGTTAGTAAATCAACATTAAATTAATGTAGCCTGATCCTCTTTTTTGGGTTATCAGCTGTAATCTGAGAGAGTATAAATCACAGTAATACTTGCTGTCCTCTGCAGGTCAAAAAAAGACCTCTACATAGCATTTATTTAAAACTTTTACACTCATTGTAATCAATTTGAATATAATACTATTACGGTTTTTTTTTAAAAAAACCACTTGATTGCTCAATTTCTTTATATGCTTTTTTTTTCTTAATCATATAAGCTTTTTTTTATTTATATAATCACAAAAGCTTTTTTTTTATTTATCTAATCATAAAAGCTTTTTTTTTATTTATCTAATCATAGAAGCTTTTTTTTTATTTATCTAATCGTATAAGCTTTTTGTTTTTCTTTATTAAAAAATCATATATGATAAACTTTTTTTTGGCCATAATTTTGACTTCAAGACCAGCAAGTTATCATATTACAAACTGCGGCAAAAATTGCAATTAATTGTTTAATTGTAGCTGCGTCACCAATAAATTAATTGAGATCAAATAATTGCAATTAATTGCCTTCACAATCAATTATTTGGTAGGCCTGGTTTAGAGTGCCTATTTAGCCTGCAAGAACTGGATTATATATTCATAGACGCATGGAGGTGCTCTTTCTTGTCTTTGCAATGGTTATTGAAATTACTGCCTTCGTATTGGCCATACCGAGACAGCAATTTCACCAATATTACTCTGATTAATGTTTGAACGTGAAGATATGATTAGTATATTCTCTATAATCTAACATAAAAAATTTGAATACATCTAGTTTAGCATCGCCTTCGAAGACGTTTAAACCCTTTGCAATATTACAGTAAATCATCGATATGTATTTTTTTGCCCTGGACAGGTTAAGCTTTTATCGTATACTAATTTTTATTGTAAAACATTAGATAAATCCCCTCAGTGATGATGAGATTCAATACAACTTGCAGAAATTAAAAATGGACCTTTTTGTAAGTTGAACATTTTTCATCTCATACAGTGATATAAAATCTAAAGTATATTTTATATCTTATTAGAATAGTAAAAGTTCACATGCACCTTATCTACTATCAAATTTGGAAGGAGTTAAAATTTTTGACCTTTTGTGGGATGACCCACTTGCTAATCAAATAGTCGATGCGAACTCCAAATATGTTAAAGAAATGCCAGATCATGCGCTGAAATCTTTTATGGTATGAATATAATTTATCATGATTTTTTCTTATACTACTACCATCTATTTAAACTTAAATGTATAATAGAAACCAGAAAACAATATGCAAGTTTCAGGCCCAGATTTCATCTGAGAAAAATGTGATGAGTTTGTATTAAAATTTGTGAATGATTCTGAAGAAATTTTGCCAGCAAAACTTACACATGACGAATCCTGGAAGGAGCCGGATGAGGTTCTTAATCAGGTTACAACAGGAATTCTCAATCTATTGTGAGTTTTGAAGATTTTTAAATCTCATCTATAGTTATAAAAATGCTATGCCTTATTTATCTAATGTCCCTTCGATTTCAGAAACGAAGTTTGGAAGAACCCGGCTTTTGGACCCGAACTGGCTGGTACACAAAATGAAGGGACTTATGTAACAGATATAATAGTTCCTTCTATTCGAGCTACATTGAGGGGACTTCCAATCAGAAAGACCGGCTTTATTAGCATATAAGTTATAAGAATATCATATTTACATATTTTTTTTCAGCGCAGAACAGCAAAGCGTTGCCAGTGTGGATAGAAAAGGGAAGTCAGGAACGGGAAAACGGTCAGACATCATGTTTATCATTAATTATAAGGAAAGGATACATGAATTGACATTCACGTCTGGTTTGCACCGAAGACAAAGAAAAAACAGATCAAGTAAAATTGTGGCGGGAAATGAATGATGGGCTATTCTGGTCCCGCAAAGCGTGCAAGCAAGGGTGGTTTCTGAAAGACCATAATTTTGCATAATATTTCTGGTGCTTGGGGTTTTAGAATTGTTTTGAGTTTTTAATTGCCTTAAGAACATTGTTAATTGCATTGTGCCAGGTAGTATAATCACTATATTTTGTCATAACTTTAATTCGAAAATTTAATAAATGTTTCACTTGTATTACAGTGTGAAGTTATTGTTATAATGTTTTTTTTATTTACAAAATTTAATACACATTTAAATACATTTTGAGATTACAATGCAGCATTACAAAGCTTTATGATAAATAATTGTATCTAAGAAGTCTCTTATTTTAAAATTTGATTTTGGGTTTAGAGATTGTGCCAAGTAAAAATGCTATTATGTGACGTAGTAATTTATCCGAGTAATTTAATAATGCCCATTTCCCAACAGGTACAATCTCTACTCGGGCTCTTTTTTTTTTAATGTGTTCATCACTAAATATTTGCAACCGAAAAGCCGTTTTTGTTTAAATTTAAATTTTTTTTTTTAATGATGCTTTATTTTTCACATAAATTGTGTTTTTATGCATGCAGATTAAATAATACATGAGATTTAATTATTACGGGCATCATACAGCAAGTACCCAAATTAGATCATCGTGGCTATATGAATTCGTATCGTGTTAAATTAGAAGTAGTCACTTATAAATAAAAAATCATTAAAAGTTTATCAAAATTTAAAGTTATACGATGCATATTAGTAGGAATAATTCTAATAATTTATGAAGGCCGCTTTACTTAATAAAAAAAACTGATTTTAGCATATTACTGTTATTTTTTGCAAGACCTCTTTAGCAAGAAATTATTGTAGATTAATTGAATGACAATATCTTGTGATCCAGTGATTGGAATCACATGTTTTTGGTATCATTCGACTTCTCATCGAGACGAATCGAATGGTACCAAAATTACGTAATTTTGATCACTAGATCGTAAGATATCATTAGTGGCACTGCGTCAAATTAGGCATGCCTACCTTATATTTAATAATTATAATTTTATTACGTATAGTTATTGCATATACATATATATCAAAAGCTTTAGATTCTAACTTATTATTACTTATTCACAACAAATAAAATAATATTAAATAAGAATTTTACTAAAATGCACCTATGGTGTTTTACACCGATGTATACATTATCTCAAAAACTGGCTAATTAATCGGTGTAAGGTGTTCTAAGTAAAAATGTTCTAAGCCCACAAAAACCCTTCCCAAACCCTAATTCTAACCTTAATATTAACTTTAACGTGAAAAAATTGGTGTTAAAAATTTTATATACAAAACTTATAAAAACTTAGAAAATTTTAAAAAACACTAGCGTAAAACCCATTGCGTTGCTCCGAATTTAAGTACCTTTATACTATATTAATTTTTCAATTGAAGTAAACATTCAATTAAAGCATCTACTCCAGTATTGGCATCAAAAATTCACGCCACGTGATTTTTGGCCAATAACAGATCACAATTTAGTATAACATAACACGATCAGTTAAATTCAAAACAAACATCACTTTTGTCAAAAATCGCTTATTTCTCAAAAGTTTGTATAGGAAATTACCTTTCGTGCACTAATAAAAAGTTTTCCTTAAACGATTTTACTATATAATTAACTAAACCCAAATCCTAAAGAATTTTTTCGTTAGTCACGTGGGAGTGAATTTTGATAGCGATACTGGAGAAGATTAATTAAAGCACTGCAGTAACGTGATGATTGATATGTATTGTGTAATGTGATGAGCGACATGTGATTTTATTTACACATGTTCAGCTAATCAAATGTTATTTTTGTCTCCTATTGTTTATTTCATAATGTTTATCTCTTAGTTGTTTATCTATCCATAGCAAATTATATAAGAGATAATAAAAATATATAATAGGTGCAAAACCACCATAGGTGCGTTTTATAATAATTGAATTTAAATAAGATTAACTGATTTTAAACTAATTTTATACTGAATACAATCAAAAATCATCTAAAATCAGTAAGAAATAATATTATTTAATAAACTAAAATCAGTATATAATCAGAATATTGATTTAAAAATTCATCTATAATCAGTAAATTTACTAGTTTACTAGTTTTCGGCCTGTAATATTATCACTTAAAGTTTTGAAAATATTAAAACATCTATTAAAATTATAGTTGTAGTAAAATTTTTATAAAAATATAAGTAAGATATCTTAGTAACTACTTAATCAAATTCAATAAATTTTTTTATTTTGGTACTACAGTTCTGTAGAATTAAAATAAAAAAAAATCATCAAATTTTGCTAGGTAGTTGTTGAAATATTATTACTTAAAGTTTTAAAAACATTAAAACATCTATTAAAATAATAGTTGTAACAAAATTTATATAAAACTTTGAACAAAATTATTTTAGCAACCACTTAGCCAAATTTGATTAAATTTTTTTTTATTTTGGTTCTATAGTTCTGTAAAATCAAAATAAAAAAATTTATTGAATTTGACTAAATAGTTGTTAAGATATCATTGTTAAAGTTTTGAAAACATTAAAACTTTTATTAAAATAATAGTTGTGACAAAATTTATATATACGTGGAGAACCAAGATTATAATAGTTAGACCCAATGTATAGTGCAAACTTTGGTACCCTTTGCTGGCTATGAGAACTGGGCTTAAAACGGCAAGCAATTCTGCAGAAGACTACTTGTCCAAATCATCTTCAACATCTTTAGACTCCTATGATTTGGATGCATGCTATAACAAATACTTATCACATCACAAACTTCTTCTTCTTAAAGGACCCCAAACTCTACAATCCTTTTACTCTTATTTCAGTATTCACGCATTACATCTTAAAAAATTTGCTGCTATCTCATTATCTAAAGACAGAAAAGAAGCATATGTTTATTTATCACACAAAACTAAATTACTGTCAAATCACATCTTACTATTAACAATTGATACATACAACATATCTCTTAAATTATACACAAACACATCTCCAATTTCATCACCTATAACTTCTGATGAAGAACTTGAATCTCTATCTAGAGACTTACTTTCACTATTATATAACTCTACTGATAATATT